TGGACCTGACGGTCACACAGTAGGTCTGGTCCCGATGGATGACCTGCTCCATAGCTTCCCTCAGCCTGGAGGCAAAGACTTTGGACAGAAGCTTGTAATCCACTGCTCAGATGTCTTTTAAATGTAGAGTATTGGTTTTAAACAATCTTATAGCATCCCAACTGTGGCACCGTCTAACCTGCCTAGACCCTCCCTCAGGCTTTCTAGCCCATATACAGAAGAGAATGGTTGATTTGTTTTGGGAGGGTCTACAGTGTGTGCCACAAGGGGTGCTGTTTTTAGAGAGGAGGGGGGACAGGACCTCGTCCACCTGGCCAGCTGGACGGCCACTTTTAGACTTCAGTTTGTGCAAAAATACCTCACAAGTCCAGATGGTTTAGTGTGGACAGCTGCATTCTCAGACGTGCAGATAACCTGGGGCTGGATACTGCTCTGTTTTTAATTGATTCTAGTTGTTTAACACCTTTTAAACCCGAGCCCTATTTTTAGGCCTCTGCTCGAAAATTGCATACCCATACTAAAAATACTTTAATTCTGTAACTACAAGGTCTATTTTAATAATTTCGATGCTAGAATAAAGTTAACACTGAGATGTGTTGAGATGTGTAAATATTGTGTATATGTTACTGGTTAATAGTAAATGAAGATGGCACACAGCTCAAATTGAAAGGTTTCAGGTTCACCTGAAGAAAAAGCACTGAAAGCATGAATATCTTTTTTTAATGATGCAGGTGTAAGCTAAAAACTCTCCCAAAACATAGCACAACATGTCAGAGGGCTGTATAAAAAGATTTGGCTTTGATAAAGTGAAGCAAACAAAAGTTATAGAGTTTATTGTGTCAGAGAGGTCGCGGGAGGTCAAGCAGATTTGTCATTTTGGAACCTGTTCCATTATACTTTTATATACTATATAACTATATATTTCACTTGTTTTATCTATAATAGTATCCAAATACAAGCAGTTTGGCATCATTTTGAGAGCCTGAGGCCTCTCTAAACCCTCTCTGTGTCTGTGAGCCATGGCTCAATTCTCATCTGCCTGTGTGTGAGTGAGGCTTTGTCAGCCCTGTGATTGGCCAATCCCAGACTACGACACTCCATACATGGAGTGGTGGTAACGTGACTTTGAGTGACAGACTCGTTAGAGGAAAAAAAACAGAAATGCGCCCTGCGTCGCCCTGCGTAAAAGCTGATTCGCCAAAAGTGTAATCACTTCCCCCACGGCCCCCCAGGCTCGTCTGACCCCCCTTACTCCAGGGAACACTCTTACAAACACAGGACAGACATAGGAGCAGTGTTTTAGCTGGCAAAAACGGAATATCAAACCCGTTTCTTCATGATTCGTCTCAAGGTACGAAGCATTTATGGTTTATTCTGCGGTGGAGTGGCTTGTTTGTGTGGTGCTTGTTGGCTGTAGGATTGTAATGTTTCACGGAGAGAAATTCTGAAGATATCTCTGGATTTTGTGTCGAATGCTCATGCGTTTTGATATCTCGGTTAGCCGTGTTAGCGGTTAGAATTTTCTTTGTTCAGCTTTGTAGGAGTGCATGGCTCGCAGAGTCATGCGAAAAATACGTGATATTGTGGTACGTCTTCTAGATATATTAGTTTGTGTATAATTGTGCTTGCAGTGTGTAAAATGGCTGGTATGATGATTTTGCCCAGACTTTTTTCGTTAATTCGGTATATAATATGTGTGGAGCATTCATTATATTTGTTTATGAAAAGTGCATTCTACGACACACTACCACGCTAAACGGTCTCGCTCGAACCACAAATGGGGCTCTGTCGTCACCAGTTAAAGTTAAGTGGGCTGCCTCCGTTTTATCAGGATGTTTTTAAGTCTTGGGCCTTTTTTACTCGTAAAAGGTGCCCATAGTCTAACTATCTGTACTGGTTGTTGACAGAACCATTGATTCACAAGGCCAAGCTGGACATCAGCAGCAGTGTCACCCCTGGCCTGATGGGTGCGTTGCACAAATCACAAACCCTGTGCCTGCAGCAGCTGGTGGATGCAGTGGGGCCGACGCTAAGCGATGCCCGGGCCCCGGGCTCTCTGCTGGGTCTGCATTCTGTCCGGGTGACGAGGAGGCTCCTGGAGCTGTGGAGCCAGAGGCTGGTGGGGAAAGAGAGGAGCCTCCTCATGAACTACAGCAAAGGGCAAATTGAGCTGGACCCTGCAGACCCTTTCCCCAAAATCTCCCTGAGCCCGGGGCTAGGGGAACTCACCGGCCCCTGCTTGCTACAACACGCCCAGAAAAGCTAACATATACAAGGCGGACAAAAAGACCTTGTATTTTAACTGTGTGAAGGGCACAAACAAGACCGGACTGTGCAACAGGCTCCCCACTGTGTGGTCAGACAGACTGGGACAAAACAGACCTGGCCCACAGTGGAGGATTTTATATAAACCTCCCCTCAAAAAACGGACTGCCGACCTCCAGTGGAGGATGGTGCTGTCGCCTCCAATGCTTTTATTTCTGTTCTTAGCCAGTGCCCGTTCTGTAGCCTTCGAGAGACTGTTTCCCATGTTTTTACTGAGTGTAAGAGACTTGCAGAGTTCTTCTCTCTTTTAACATTGGTTTTTAGTCTTTTTGATGTGGTTTTTACTGAAAGGGTTTTTATCATGTGAGCTGCCTACAAGAAAACAGGAAAAGAAAAGTGGCAGCTCCTTAAGCCAAAATGGCAATTTATTTGAGCAGAAAGAGCAGAGTGGAGAACAGGGAGGGGCAGGAGGCCAGGTTAGTGTGGCTGTGTAACATCAGGGCCAGACTCTGGCTAGAGTTCAGCTTTCATAAACACATTGGAGACTTGGATGCTTATAAACAGCATTGGTGTTTTAATAACATTGTTTGTTCGGTGGTCAATGACGAGTTGATGTTTGTACAAGTTTTTATCAGATAAATTATATTGTCACTACCCAGCTCAAAAGGCCGTAACATGTGGGAGACAAGACGAGTATAAAGTAATAAATAGATATTTAACAAACCAATAACTAAACTAAACCAACAAACAACCAGGTACTCCACACAGGAGTCAGGTGTAGCTCATCAGCAGCAGATTACCATCCTGAAAGACAACCTGGAAACAGGACACAGACCCCTGGTGGAAGGGAGGGGTCGTCACAATATACAGGTGCTGGTCATATAATTAGAATATCATCAAAAAGTTGATTTATTTCACTAATTCCATTCAAAAAGTGAAACTTGTCCATTATATTCATTACACACAGACTGATATATTTCAAATGTCCCTTGAAATTAGTGCTTTCCATTATTTTTAAAGGACACAGTTAACATGTTACTCTTCTTGTGAATTGAAATCTTGTGAATGTGAAGCAATGAATCTTTTTTCCAACCATGCTTTTGTAACACGTTATTTTAAAACCGGAAGAAGTTCCTCATTAATCCTAATGGTGCGTTCACACCAAACACGGTGCGAATTATTTGCGCGAGTAGATTACATATAAAGTCTATGCACAGACTGGCGCGGTGCGAATTTGCGATGGTGACGCAAATTCGTGTCAAACGCCAAATCGCCCCAAACGCATGAGTTGAAATTTTTCAACTTCGGCGAAATATTCACGTTACGCCCCAGCGCGAGCCTATCAGCGTTGAGATGTTTCTCCTGACGTCCTGCCGTTGTTGAATCAGGAAACAAATACTGTAGCCGTCTGTGTTCACCCAGAGCTCTACGATACCTCATATCAACAGAGACGGACCAAACTATGTGTATAAATGTGTGTGTGTAAACCATATGGTACAAACAAAGAATAGACGCTGCTGTGTTTACGTCTACATGACGTTATTCTGAGTGTTGGTGGAGCTGCTACAATGTTAGCATACCCTAGCATATCCGAGCTCCATTGAGAAGACAAGTACAAATCTGTCACGGGGCATGGTGAGGACTCAAACGCAGACAGGTGTAGTGAAAAAAGGTTTTAATGATAACCAAAAACAAACAGGGAATCCAGGGACAAGACAAAAGACGAGGGGGAAAATCCGGCAGGAAAGGGCAGAACAGGCAGACTGGAAAACCGGAAACAGGACGAGCAAAACGGGCGGGTAGGTCCGAAAACAAACAATGATCTGGCAGTGTGTGTGTGTGCGGCAGGGGTTTAAATAGTGAAGAGGCAGAGTGAGCAGGTGAGAGTAATGAGCTGAGTGTGACTGGCAGGTGCACTGAATGAACTGATTAGGTGAGTGAGGAGCTACAGAAAGAAACAAAGACACAGAACACACAGGGCAAAGCCTGATCGTGACACAAATCGGCATCATTACGTAGTTATTTCGGAGTCCCTTTTTGTCGGTTTATTGCTGTTAAATCACAGCCAAATCAGTTTATTTTGTGTTCATACAGCTGTAGTAAACAGCGACTTGTGTGGCTTGCTAGACACAGTGAATACACCTCGATAAAATCCATGGAGCTCCTCTGGACTATGTTATGAACCCAGACATGACGGCGTTTAGTTTCCCGGGATATCTAGGACTTCCACAACACGTACTAAGCAGAAATATAGGTTATTTTTTCCATGGTTAATGGCGGACAGTTGAACGGCTTTCAGGGCGATAAGCCACGCCCCCTCTGCGGGATGTCCAGCGAGATTCGCATGATTCACGTGAATGAACACAAATAGTCCCCGGCGAGACCGGCGGCGCGAATGAAGCGAATACGCGGCGCAAATGAATTTACAGTGAATGTCAGAATATGTTTGAGCTATCCTTTGATATTTTAACAGTTTGAGTTGAATTCAATGGGTGCACGAAATTTGTCTTTATATTAACTGCATAGTGAACCTCAGGGAGCCAGCCGTGGTCTGCCCGCTGCAGATGACATGCACGAGTCAGCAGACCCCTGAAGCTCCGCCCCCGCTGCTACACAGATTGCTGTGTGCTTGTTTATTCAAAGTTTATTCATATTGAACTTGACCCACGTCCAAATTGCACCAAATTCGAAGAAGCACTTCATGGGGTCTCCAGACCCTCCAAGTGTGAAGTAGTTTGCATGAGTGAAAGAAAGGGTTTTTATCTAAACAAATGTACATCGAAATGTTTTGTTACGCGTAATATCGATAATCACTTGGAAGGGTACATTCTTTCTAATATGAACAACACTTTTAAGAGAGATAATCCTTTTATTAGTCCCGCAGCGGGGACATTTACAGGATTACAGCAGCATAGTCAAGTCACTAAAAACAAATCTGGCCCAAATTGCTTCAGGGTTGCATCGTCACTGTAGAGCCTTCCTAAGGAACTGAGTCAGGAGGTGATGAGGGAAACCAAAATCCATCTGAATCACCACAAAGCCCTGCAGCACAGAGATGGAACGGAAAATAGAGTAGCAATGTAACTACCAAGTACAATGAAGTACAATGAAGTACAACACAAAAAAGGACACTTGACGAGATGAAAAAAAGTCAAGAGAACACTCACATCCTGAGGAAGCACCTCTGGGTTGAAGATGTCAAATAAGTTAGCTCCCTGTTTGTCCAACAGCCTGGTGAGCTCAATCTCCAGAGCTGGAACCAAACACGATGCAACATGTAACCATTACAGCTTCTACTTTCACATCGTGAAGCTACATTTTGATCCTGCTGTTGCTGAGCAATGCTGTTGATAATGATTGGTCATATACTACTATATCAAAAATAAAACAATAATTACCAATTTTGCAACAGTCAACAATTGAAAATGAATATATTTGAGGAGAAAATCGGCTGCAAGGAACCATTTGTTTGAATGCAATCCTGCCGTGCTCATTTAAAAAATTGGTACAGTAATTTCTATAAAATGAATTGCAATTGCCTTAATCATAGTACTGAGTACTTAAGTTCTTATATCACTGTCTTTATTTTGTAAATGCTACATTGACAGTCATTTTATCTAAGACATTCTAGGAGAATGCTTGATGTTGGTGGGGTCAATAGGTTGAGGTTTAAGACAGAGTTTATTTCATTATCCATATCTCTCTAGCCTCACCAGACAGGACCTTGGGAATGCCTATCTTCTCCACAGCTTCTCTTATGAAGTCCACGTGATCCTCATCTAGCTGGAAAAAGAAGCAGAGGTGATTCAACAAGTCCAGTCAAACATAAACACACAAGTATCATTTGAACAAGTGACATGAATGGAAATGATTTAAATGGGTGGGGGAGAACACTTTCTTTTGTGTTACTGATTTATTTTTTGTTATCAGAATAGTAATTAAATATTATAATATGCACTTTTTTTTCCAAATGGGTTAAAACGTATTTAGTAAAGTTTAGGAAAAACATCACGGTCTGGCTTAAAATAACTACATAAACAAAAGCAAGGCAAGAAAGCCACTTAGTTATAAAAGGTTATTGCTTGTAGCAAATATAAATATTAATTAAAGCTGTGAGCAGCATTGATCGGGCCCTCGCAACTTCATGCACATCGAGGGTACTAGCAGGACTCTGGCCATGCATTTCTGTGACCATCATACACTGCGTGCACAAGTTAAACGGTATTTCCTGGTACTGGCAGGACTCTGGGTAACGCGGCCATGAATTTCTGTGACCATCACACTCTGCGTGCACGAGTGAGATATTTCCTGCGTAGACCAGCAGCGTAGCAAGATCATGTTGCCAGGTCTTAAGCCTCAAATGTTTTGACTGTACATCCGATACAATCATAAATGTAAGCCTTTAAAGATCATTAAGAAAATTAATGTGTGTGAATGCGCTTCAGTGTTTGTAACAGAACAGACTGTCAGTTTACTGGGATGGGGTTCAACTCCCTGCAGTGTCCTGCTGATTGTATTTGGACTTACATGAAAGTTAACAAAACAGTAGTGCCATTTGCTGTTACTTGAACACTTTAAATTAACACTGTTTTTATTTTAAGTTCTTCTGTAACTTTAGACTCTAGTGTGAAGCATTCATTGTAACGTTTAACCTGATTCTCATGAAGAAGCTCTGGACAGATCATTTATACTAATGCCCACTGGCATGGTTTGAAAATCCACTGTTATCTAACTTTTGCTCTCCAAGCATCTTAGTTTGCACATATTTAGATCAGAGAAGTCTTTTTCTCATGGTGCGCCCACAAACCCTTTCAATAAGTTCAGTGTTTGGGCCGCTGTAATTATAGAATCCTGCTTACGTCCGTGCTTATCAGTAGGTGGCGCTATGACTATGAGTTAATATTGGCATGCAGAAGTCCTAAAGCCATGACAGTCAACAAGCATGTCAAGTTTGGGACAGTTTTGACAAAGTACAGTCGAGTTACAACAGCTTGATGGATGATGGTGAACCATGTAAAATGGCCATCACACCATATCCACGTCGTTCGATGAAACCTAAAGCTTTTAGTAACTTTTAATCGCTAAGGTCTTCAGATTGTTCTGACCAAATTCTAAGCTGATCGGATTAATTCCCTAGGAGGAGTTCGTAGTACAGCACCTGGAAATGGAAAAAAACCACCAGAAATTCATAAAAAATTCAAAATGGCTGACTTCCGGTTGGGTTTTGAGCATAGCCCCAAGAGACTTTATTTTAAGTCCATATGTGATACATGTTCCAACCAAATTTCATACATCTAGGTCAAACATACTGCGAGGGCTGCTTCGTCGAAATTTTGTAGGGGGCGCTATTGAGCCGATTTGCCACTCTGAACCAATACAATCATATTATATAACTACATTTTGGGCTTGAAATGTGTATGCCAAGTTTGCTTATGTTTCGAGCATTTTTAGCCCCTCAAAAACACCTTAATTTTTCATGGTGAAGAATGCGTCACCACGGCAACAGCTTTTCACGAAACAACAAGCTTTGAGTACCCTTTCATCACAAAGGTCTTTAGACTGTACCGACCAAATTTGAAGTTGATCTGATTAATTCCCTAGGAGGAGTTCGTTAAAGTCCAGGGCCTGGAAATGACAAAAACGACACTAGAAATTCCTAAAAAATTCAAAATGGCTGACTTCCGGTTGGGTTTAGAGCATGGCCCCAAGAGACTTTTATTTAAGTCCATATGTGATACATGTTCCAACCAAATTTCATACATCTAGGTCAAACATACTGCGAAGGCTGCTTCGTCGAAATTTTGTAGGGGGCGCTATTGAGGCGATTTGCCACTCTGAACCAATAAAATCATAGTCTATAACTACATTTCGGGCTTGTAATCTGCTTGCCAAGTTTGTTTATGTTTCGAGCATTTTTAGCCTCTCAAAATGACCTTCGTTGTTAACGGCGGAGACTGCATCGCCACGGCAACGGCGTTCGACGAAACATCAAAAGCTTCATGAACTGGCATTATGAACTTCTTATATTTGTGTGGAACTAATTTGATATTGATTTGATTTACCTACTAAGAGAAACAAGCCAAAGTATAATGACTTTAACTTCCTGTTACCAGTAGGTGGCGCTATGACTATGATTCAAAATTGGCCTGCAGTTGTCTTCAGGCCTGGAGTCTAATCAAACATGTGAAATCTGGTAAAGATCTGATGATGTGGAGTCGAGATACATCAGTTTATTCCTTCATGGCGAAGGATCGAAATTCGCCGAGCCGCCACGTCGCCGCCCTTCGACAACTTCTTACAATCTTCACAATGAAGCATTACCAAGGTCTTAAGGCTGTTCTGACAACATTTGAGAGGGATCTGATCAATCTGTGAGGAGCTGGATGTCAAAGTATACAACTTACAACTTCCAGTTGCCACTAGGTGGCGCTATTACTATGATTCGATATTGTCATATAGATGTGTTCCGGGTCAGGATGTTATGACATATGAGAGATTTGGAGCAGATTAGACAATGTACGGCCGAGTTACAACAACTTCCTGTTTCGCGGTGAATGGTGTTTTTTTGACGCCACGCCACGGACACATAGTTCGATAACTTTTTGATCTTTGAGTAACTTTTCACTGGCAAGGTCTCAAGAGCATACTGACCGAATCTGAAGTCAATCGGGTCAAATCTCTGGGAGGAGTTCGTTAAAGTATGACGCCTTGAAATGGTCAAAAAACGTCATAAAAGTCAAAATGGCCGACTTCCTGTTTGGTTTAATGAAAAACTCCAAGAGGATTTTTTGTGCGTCTCATCACGTTCCACATACCTACCAAATTTCATACAGCTAGGTGAAACCCAATGTTGGGGCTACTCAATAGGGGGCGCTATCGAGCCAATATTTCCTACCGCAGTTGGACACCCCAATCAGACTGCAATTTTCGCAAATTCTGGCTTGCGTGCCAAATTTCACAAAATTCCCAGTATCCCAAGCACCTCCTTTTTGTGACGAAACACCAAAAATAATAATAAGAATAAGAAAAAACATTCGAAAAACAATAGGTCCTCCGCTCCGACTACGTCGGTGCTCGGGCCCTAATAATAAATTCATATCTAAATATCTAAAAGTAATTATAACTCAAAATTAATGAATTAAGTCTCAATCTCAGGGTTGCTATGGAGTTTACATTTAACATGTACAGTAGCAAATTATTTTATATACACACACAAATCATATGATCCCATTTTTTAGAAATGAAATATTTATTGATCCATTAACTAAACACGGAACTGCTAAACAGAAAAATAAATGAATGAATGAGGATTCAAATGAATGATGTGAATATGAGATGAAAAAGTGATGAGAATGAATACCAATGAGCCATGTATGAATAAACAGGATTATGTGACCATAGATCAAGTGACTGATGTCATTGAATGTTGACCAATTAAATTGGTTCTTTGACGTTATTAGTTCAATTTTGTTCAGAAGATGAATGCACCATTCAGCAGTTGAGAGTATAAGAAGCACCAGGGAACATTGTAAAGCATTTCATATTAGTTCTAATTTAAGTGAGATCCTACTTTAGGTCTAAATCTTCCCAATTAGTCTTCCTTCTCTGAAGTTAACCTTTTAACTGTTGTCCCGACTGTCAGAAAAAGAAGTTGTGCCAAGTGACCCAAATGAAACGGCAGATTTGTGTAGCGCAGCACTTAACCAAAAGATTAAATTGGCAGGTGGGAGGTTGCAGCAGTTCTTTGGTATCTCCACATTTTGGATTGTAGTTGGTTAGGATTCTACTCTTCCATCTCTCGCTCTGGTGGGTTTGTTTGGCTTTTCCTGGTCATTATGGCATCTTTGCAGTCTCAAAATGTCTTTTCATTTTATAACCTTTTCTTTTAAAATATCTTTCTATTCATAGTCTCTAGCATTTTGGTGCAACATGTCACAAGGCCGAAGTAGAAGACCAAGAGATGGCCAGACTCACACCTGAACAGTGGCATAGAGGACGCGTTGGCCCTAGTGGAATGTGCCCTTAGGCCCCCTTTATTATCAACTTCTGAAGATTGCATCAACAATCCAGTGAGCGAGCCGCTGTAGCGATAGGGGGCTCTCTGAGGCCGACCACCGTGGGAGACAAACTGGTTTAATTGCCTGAAAACCAACATGCGCCCCATGTAACAGCAAAGCACGAATGGGGCAGAACTCACCTGTACCGTTTGATTTTGTGAGGACAGCTCAGCTTGTAATACAAAGACCCTAGAAAAGAAGGAGGACCACCATCACACACACACACACACCAAGTACAGGACATGGACTAGGAATTGGAACTGATATAGTGGTGTGTACATAATATATTTTGAATTGGTAAGGTTGCATTCGAGAATTTCTGTAACTTTTTAAATCATGCACTCAAACAATCTGATTAACTTAACACAGATGGGCCAGATGTGTGAAGGTGAAGGAAACAGTGTTTGAACTTCTGTTCCATGTTCTCCACATTAACTTGTGTGTACCACCAAGTGAAAATTCTATTGGGGACATTTGTGCCTTTATTCCCATTTGAACAATTATTCCATTTCGCCCCTCTCAATGACTAGAGGCTTCACCTCACCTCCAAGTGTGGCCATTCAGAGCAACTAAAAAAACACTTATGAAATGGTTTGTTTGGAGCAAGCTGACATCTTTAGTGTGACTATCTGCCTTTGTGTGAAAACAAGTTCTCTATCTACGTTTATGTAGAAAAAGCATTTTTGTGCATGATTAATGCAAAGATGGGGGGGGGGGGGGGGGGGCTGTCATGAAACCAAAAAATATGACTTAGATGGACTAAAAATAGGGATGCACATGTTGTAACCTTGAATTTGCAGGCAGGTCATTGAAAGCTCATTAAGTCTTGAACAATGTAAGAAGAAAGGTCTTACTCTGACGGGTTACCCTGCAGGAAGAGTTTCTTGTCAGCATAGGAAGCTGCGATGTCAATGGCCACATCCTACACATCAAAAACAAAAAAGAATCACTCACTGGTCATATTTTCACTTTTTAACAAAGCCTTTGGCATTATTAAGCTTGAAGAAGGCTAGCATAAATGAGAAGTAACCTGTCATCAAACCCACCATCATGTTCCAAATGTTTTCATTTCAGCTGACTTTGAAGTGGAACAGTAAGCTGTCAGACTACTGAGATGTTGATTTTTAGTTCAGTAGATGCTGCACCTTTCAACTATTTATCCATTGATTTCAACTAATAATTTCAACTGATTTTCAATTATTTATTATTCATTTCAATTCACTTTATTTATATAGCCCAAAACCAAAATTTTTGCCTCTGAGGGCGGGTCGTCCAGCGGGTCGTCCGTGATGATGTGTCCTTGGGCAAGACACTTTGCACCTGTATGCTGTGCCTGGGGTGTATGAATGAGTATGAATGGTAGTTCATTCTGATGAATGGGTGTATGAATAGGGGTGAATGGTAGTCTGAAGACAAGTACTAGTCCATTGACCATTTACCATTTGCATCTGATCGGCATACAATATACTCTGTCTCAGGATCCTCGCATAGGAAAAGGACATATGTCCTCTAATCCTTGATATATTCTTCAAGTGATAGTAGGCTGATTCTGATTATGTAATTGTCTTGATATGGCTGTTCAGCAATGACCAGCTCTTTCATGTGGTCAGTGAACTCCAGGTGGGGGGAGGATGGGGAGAGTGTGAGAGAGGAAAGGGACCTGGATGGAGTCTGGGGGGTGGAAGTAGGTGCTGGGGAGGGAGGTAAAGACTCCTCGTCTCGGATGGGTGGGGAAAGTGGGAGATCAGAGGCGGTCCCTGATGATGAGGTTGGAGACTCCTCCTCTTGGCTGTCGTTAGGCGGGGGCATCCTTCCTGTAAGGTCTCCATGGCGATGCTGTGTGGTTATCTCTTGTTTAGACTCCTCTTGTCTCTTGTCCTTGGCAGTGGGAACAGACGGGTGACGCAGGAAGAAAAATACAGCAATTGGCTTAACTGCTTCACAGACCCGCCTCCTGTGGGCCATTTTTCCAGCGCCCCAGTACTGCTGAGACATGCAGACAGGCTGAGAGGACGTGCAGGAAAAGCATATATTTTGTGCAGGTATCATATTTTACACATATTACTGGGTGCATTCTATGTTTCAAAAACACAAATATTGACAATTTGTATAATTTATTATAATTTATTGTTTTTGTGGCTCAAGGGGGGGGGCACCCTAGCGCCCTCTATTGACCAGCCGCCACTGCTGATCGATGGTGATTCATCCAATCACCTGCCACGTATTTTTTCAAAGTGCCTGCCCTTTTCCAAACCCTGTTTCCAACGAACGGATTCTTAGACGGTTCTTTGTAAAAACAGGTTACTTGTTCGCTACATCTTCAAAGACAAGCACTGAGCTCACCCAGATGGCGCTGTGAATGGGAGTCTTATTGTGGTTGGCTTGTACTTTCTCTGTTTTTCTTTATTTGTTACATTTTTTGCTTTCCTTTTCTGGTTAGACTCACCGGGGAGGAACTCCTAAACATCCGACAATGTGCTTTTATACCACTTTTTACCGAACCAGAAAGTTTTACTGAGCTTTAAAACAGAGCAGCAGCCGCTATCTATGGGAGCGTACGCTACATTGTAACAGCAGGGATTTTGAACGGCGCTTCCATCAATAAGTCCGCTCTCTGGCAAAGAAGATGCTTGAGTTTCTGCTTCTGAACAGAGCAAACAGACTATTACAGATCCGCATTCCTCTACTTCACTGAAACCCGGCTTAGTGAGCACATCCAAAAATTGACCCACCAAAAGAACATCAAAGAACTTCTGCTGGAGCCCCGCAGGTTACCTTCCGGGCAAACAGGTCAGTGGAAGATGCAGTCAATAATGAACTTATTATGCCCAAGTACTCTTCAGAGAGATTGAGGAAGCCTTTGGTCCCTGCTGCTGTTGATTTTTTTAATGAAGATTGTCACTGACTGTGATCTGCGGTTGATGACCAGGTTTATGGTTGTACTGAGGATCAAGATAATGCTGGTGTCCATGAATATGTTGATGTCAACATATGATGTCACTCAGTTTCCCCATAGGGGGTTTGATAAAGTATTTCGTACCACACTACACAATAGAAAGCTCCATGGTGTAGTGAAGGAATAATGTCTTGTGGTAGACTTTCAATCAGATGTCTGATAAATGTTCTGTCAGAAGAAAGCAATGAAGAGTAAGGCAAAATACCATTTTAAAGAAGAGTATTGGTGTGCCTTGAGTCCCACAGTGAAGCTCCCCAGAGGCCGTCCCCCAGACAGTCGTACCATAGGTGGAGGTGTTTAGGTAGGGAACAGATGAACTCCACACTCTTAGCTGTGGAGAACCTGATTCCAGCAGACACTAAATACACAAAGGCAATATGTCTCATACGTCTCATCTCGCCTTACAAAGGTGTATGTGTTTGTATCTGCAGAGATAAACAGGTTTTCCATATTACCTCTCTAATAAATGCAGGCATTGCACTGGAGAGATTAGTCTTGAATAGTTCCTGAAATCACATTTATCAATATAATTTAAGTCCCGACAACAGATAAAACTGCCACAATTTAACATTAAACATCTGTGACAAGATGTCCTGGTTCGGAAAGATGTACAGGCACAAAGCATAGTTCAGGTTTGTAATCTTAGTCAAGCTCCAATAATGTCTCAGTAGTAAGTACCAATTGTATCAATAACATACTACACGCCATATTTGAAAGTGATGTACTTACAGTGAGTTCTGCTCCAGAGATGTTGAGTTGGAGACGGCTATCTTGGTGGGCAGCAGTAAACAAGGGGTTCAAGACCTGGTCTGGGGTTCAACACAAGTTATAGAGCAGTAACAGACACGACTTTAAAAACACCTCTAAATCACAAAGAAAGAAGATCATCTTGATAACTGAGACACTGACCTACACTGCTGCCTGTGAGCGTCTGCTCGTTGGCTACCATACTGGAGTAGTGTGAAGATAGACATTTATTCCTGAAGTTATATTGTTTCCATGGAGGTTATGTTTTAAAGTTTGCATAGATGACTTTGAATGTTTTACCAGGTATAACAACAGCAATTCAGAGACTTAATTTGACATTAGAGCAATGCCTGAAAAAACATGGTGGACATGGTGACTGCATCACAAAAGTGATTCCATGTGTTCACGACATATAGAAATATATTCTGTTGAAAATCAAGAGTCTACATAATTTAACCAAACTAAAAGTTGCTGTCGAAACAATATCGTTGACGAAGAAGGAAGATTATGGTAATGGTGAAAGGTATGGTTGAGGTTAGGCAACTAAAACATTAGGAAAAGTTTCAGGTTACAGTTAATAAAAGTGCTCAAATGAATTGCAGGTCTGTCACAGAATGTGCAGGTGAAAGTCCAACTCAGGTCAGGGCCATCCCCGACCCTGACCTCATCTTCCACCTTGCTGCTTGAAGGTTACACTTCTTCCTGCACTGGCACTGAAAGTTGGCACTGAGCATAAATACAGTACGAGACTTGACTACACGGATACTATATCTAAATACAAATATGAATGCAAAGAATTATTTTGATGCAATTGATTCTATTGTAAAGAAATTTCATGACCAACATGTATCAGTTTTTCATTGTTATTAACATCAAATCTAGAACTTAAATCCTTAAATAAACAAGAGCATTGAGACTTGACACATCGTTGGATACTTACTAATGTGTCTTTTCGTTCTAATGTACCTCTACTTCCGAAACTCAAAAGACAATGTAATGCCATCTGCTGACCTGAGACCCAAAAGTAGAGCATCCTGTTTTCAGTCAGCTGCCTTGGGTGGAATACAGAGTCATTGATGACAGCGGAAGTGTTGTTGTAGTTGGTCAGCCCCTGTAAGATTTATGAAAAAAAAAATGTAAAAGCCAAGGGATGAACAGAAAGACAACTATATGAACTCTTACACCTAAAAGAAAGATCTACATGTACACTTCGATATGAACCGTTGAACTCTGAACACTACTGCTATCCAGTTATGATAGAGAGGGGATACAATGTATAGAAATGTTTGGGGTGGGCAGAGGACTAGCCAAGAGTTGGAGTTCCATTGGATATGATGTACTACAGTCCAGTCTCCCCTAAACAATTGCATATCAGCAATGTTTGACAAAGTTGACAATTTCTCCTTTTTTGCCTGTCTTAATGTCTTAATATCTTAACAGTACTTTTATTTGACTTTTCTTGTCTGATGATTTCAAGACAATCGCTATGAGATATGTTTGTGCATTTTATTTTTATACAGGTATTATTTACCTTGTGGTACGATTCTATGTAGTTAGCATTGATGACAGGAGCAGCAGTTACACCAATGTCCACACTGATGCCTCCATAACTGAGGAACTGACCTGTAAGCACACACAAACACACACACACACACACAGTAATATTAAGAGACATTCCAGATAAAGAAAATATTTGTACGAATCAGATCAGTATTTATTTAAGTTATGGATTCACACCTGCTGTGTCCTGTATGAAGTCAGCCAGTATGTTTGCCACCTTGTTGATCTCCTTACAAATCTGCATTTGAAAACAGACTAATCATTGCTACAGTATAACCTTAACATGCTAATCAACATGTACTCTCCTGTAGTTGTGTTTCTCTCGCCCTCACCTGTCCCTTGATGGCCAGTTTTACAGTAAAGGTAATGAAGTCGGTGAAGACCTTCCTCAGCCAGTTTGGTCTGACCAAAAATAGCAAACACACAGCATGGTCACATACTTATTCTGTTGTGCTGTTGACAGCCCGTCAGGGTTCTGTTTTATAACTTACTCTTTGTCACCCTGCAGATGCAGATGGAGCTTGTGAAAATGAAGATAACAGTCCGATGTGTCTGCTGCTACCTTACCGTCTCTGCAGTCTGAGAGAGGAGAAATAATAACAGAAATAACACAACAGATGGGAGAACATATCCGGGGAGGATAAAGACAGTTGGTTGATATTTGTCTATATTATGAAGTGCTTGAAGTAGAACAACAATGTTCCAGTATACTGAGCCAGCAGCTGCCTACCTTCTAAAAAAGTAATGTAAAGAAGTATTTTGGATTCTACACCACAGATTTGGATGACGAATCATGGATAAACATCAGGCAGTTTGCTGAAATAAAAAACGCCTCTCCATGACAGTACCGATGACAACTAATCTGAAGTTATCACGTCCTTCTCACACAGACTCCTCCCCCACCTATTGCACATTTTCAGGGGGTGATTGGGTGCTCGTGATTGGAAGACAGTATTCCCCATAGAGTCCAGCAGAGGGCTCAGTCTGTGCTCATAGAACTAGGGTTATAATATAACATTAGTTAGCTTCTCACTCAGTAAGGAGGCTGGGGTAAAACAAATAGATTAAGCTACATCCCTTTTCCAATCTTGCCACTGTTAACCTTTTGGCTTTGTTAAGAGTTTTGACAGCCTAGGGGAAATTCCACAAAATCAATAACATCACTTTTGCACCTTCAAATTTTACTCCCATATGGAACAATCTTGATTTTCTAAGTCACAAGACACCTCTTAATCTCCACACATGGTCCGCTAAAGGCATCACTCATCTGAAACATATCTTCAATAATAACACCATGGTTTCATTTCCCCACTTGGTTCAGAAGTACGGCATCATGAGCAACCAATTTTTGGAATATCTGCAACTCAAATCATCCGTTCAATCCAAACTTAACACTAAGGCCACTAACCTAGAACTACACACCTCAACCTCAGAATTAATTAATATCCCCTCCTCAAAAAAGTTAATCTCAAAAATATGTAGAGTAATATCACAGTCTGACAAAACATCATCCATACCATCAAGAAAATGGGCATCAGACCTGTCTATCACTCCTGATGCTGATTTCTGGAACCAAATCTGCAATAACATCTACTTCATGACTAAAAATGCCAATTTACAACTAATACAGCATAAAATACTTCACAGAATTCATTACACTGGGCAAAAAATGTTTAAAATGGGATTCACGTCAGATATCTGTCCACATTGCACTCAAAACAGCCCGGATAGCTATGTTCACGCCACCTGGCACTGCACACCAGTTAATCACTTTTGGAAAGAAATAACTGAGTCACTGTCTGTCTTCCTGGGCTGCCTCGTCCCATTATCCCCTTCACTGTGCCTACTAGGAGACATCTCAACAATACATCTGAGTAAAACAAATCGCAAATTACTCCTCGTGGCCCTAACTATCGCCAAGAAAACTATCCTCATGAACTGGAAATCAAGAAATAACACACACATCACACACTGGAGAAACTTAATGATAGAATATATTTCAATGGACAATCTAACCTCGTCCATCATATACAATACAGCAGAACACCACTCCACCTGGTCATCCCTCACTATGTTTCTGCAACCGTGACACCACCCATCCTATTAATATTAAAATTTGTATAGTATATATCTATTTTTTTAATGTATTTATTGCTACTATTGATTTTTGTTTTGTTGTTTTTCTTGCCTGACAACCAATTGAAACCCACGTACATGCATACATGAACTTCCATATGCACACATACTTTGTTTTTTAATTATTATTATTATCATTATTATTTTTTTTTTTCTCCTTTCATCTCAAAAGGCTCAAGGACATTCTCACACACACACACACACACACTGACTATATGATGTTTGCTAGCTTTTATCCCACTGTTCTTGTCATCCTATTGTTGTTATGTCTATGTATTGTCTAATATTGTCTCTTGTCTTTCAATAAAAAAAAAAAAAAGTGTTTTGCCAAAGGTGCACCTGGGTCAACCAGGAGTTAATGGTGTGCACTAGGAAGTATGAGAACTCATGTTAACAAAAATGTGAATTGACTACTGGTACAACTCAAGCAGTGTTTTCAGTGCATTTCTATCGTGCCTCAATCCATAAACACGTACAAAAAAATAAGGTACTCACAAAGTTTGGGGTTGATTCCGAGGTCAATCTGAGATTCAATTTCAAAGTCAATTGAATGTGCAACGTTGACACTAGATGAAAAAGAAATACAAATTGCAAATAAATACAAATCAATTTACTGGGAAAATGTTGAAAGAGCAACAATCAGAACGTTAAGCTAAATCAACAGGAACACAGGGAGAGGTGTAACAGTGAAGACCTCACTGTTTGACTGACATGGAATCTGTGGGACATGCAGTGCCTGAACACAACACCAATGACCTCTTCCACTTGTAAAATGCAACTTGCAACGTTAGTCCAAAATCTGAGAATATGATCCGAACCCCTTTTCTGCAAGGCAATTGCAGAATGTCCAGAAATACTTAAGCTTAATTTAAAACTAGCACAAATAGAGAACAATCATTAAGACCGAACAATAGCTGAATAATGTTTCAGACTCTATTGCTCCTCTAAAAAAGAAGATAGTAAAACAAAGGAGATTCGCTCCATGGTATAACCTCAGTCCCTCCATAAAACAACATACATGCTTCAAAAACTCAACGACCCTGAAAGCTTGGTGGAAAATGTATAAAATCAATAAATCCAAAATGACATCATGTAGATACAAACCAATATAGCACAACCTTTATTACTCAACAATACAGCATTCTCCTTCACCACAAGGAAACTAAGAGGCAGCACATGTTCCAGAATAACTCCTTCATCACTTTCCAGGATCTTGTCCGTAAATACCATTTTGGGCAATAACAACAATAACAAGGCTTTCAGTACCTTCACTTATAACCATTATAACTACAGACAACAATTTACAAGTTTCCCCACTAGTTATAGGAACAAATAAAATAGCCAGCCATAAAAAATATTTCTGTCAATATAATGCCAATATAATGTTGAACATTATATTGGCATCAAAGGAACCGCACTGAACTGGTTTGGATCCTCTTTATCGGATCGATCTCAGTTTGTTTATGTAAACGATGAAGCCTCGATGAAGACCGACGTCAATTATTGAGTTCCACAAGGTTCTGTGCTTGGACCAATCTTGTTCACCTTATATATGCTTCCTCTAGGCAATATTATCAGAAAACACTCAACACGGGGGCGACCGTGGCTCACTGGCTTAAGAGGGTTGTCTGGTAACCGCAGGGTCAACGGTTCGATCCTCGACTGGGACCCCCACGTGTCGAAGTGTCCCTGAGCAAGACACTGAACTGCTCCCCAGGTGCCTGTCAGTGGCAGCCACTGCTCCCTATATACAGGGATGGGTCAAATGCAGAGGTCAAATTTCATGTATGTGTAAATGACAATAAAAAGGGTTTCTATACACTTTCACTGTTGAGTATCACAGATGATACTCAATTATATATATCGATCAAACCAATCAGCTTGCTAAACTGCAAGCTGGACATAAAAACTTGGATGACCTGCAACTTCCTGATGTTAGACTCAGACAAAACTGAAGTTATTCTACTGGGCCTCCGACATCAGTTATCTAATGATATAGGTATCTAATGATATAGGTATCTAATGATCAAAGGTAACTCCAAGAATCTTGGAGTTACCTTTGATCAGGATTTTTCTTTTAATTCTCAGATAAAACTAATTTCTAGGACTGCCTTTTTTCACCTACATGGACACTGGTCCTTCAACCATCCATGGCCCTGCTCACACCTACTACGATCTTCATTATTAACATTATTAACCCTATTACCAATACCATTAATGCACAGTACTGATTTTGTCTCTTCCCCGGAGTCCTTGTGCTTTCTCTCCTCACAGGTTTCCATGGAGCATGGTTTCATCTGGACCCTGGTCCTTCCTCCTACCATGGCCCTGCTGACTCCAACTGCTAATATCACTTTTATTATTACTCGCATTACTATTTCATATTACCGATACCATTAATGCACATTATTGACCTGCTTCTTCACCAGAGTCTCTGTGCTTTCTCGCCTCACAGGTTCCTGTGTATCCGGGTTATACCTGGACCAGGTCTTGCCTCCTGCCGTGGTTCTGTCATACATTGAATGTGTTGTAATTCAGTTATCCTGTTCTACACATGACATCTATTGCACTTCTGTCCATCCTGGGAGAGGGATCCCTCCTCTATTACTCTCCCACAGGTGTGATGTGAGAGGATGTCAAATGTGTACATATTGTAAAGCCCTCTGAGGCAAATCTGAGGCTAATTTGTAATTTGTGATTTTGGGCTATACAAAAATAAATTGAATTGAATTGAATTGAAATTGAATACAGACAATAACAAAGCAGTTACAATGATTGTGATAATATGACCAGAGTCCGGGAGTCTAGATCTAATTAGATTACGTATGGTGTGTGCATGTTTGGAAGTTTGTATGAGAGGCAATGATATCCATGTTCAGTGATTCTGGACAGGTTGGTATGTGTAGTGTGGAGTATCCTAATAATAATAATACATAATATTTGGTATCAGATAATCATATCGGTTTCTTTGTCATACTGAAACCTGGCTGTGTCTTATCATTTGAAAGTCTTTCACAACCAACCTGGAAAACATTACAGCTAGTTCTGTTTGTTACAGTGTATCTCTCCAAAGGTCTGTATTCTGAATTCCCGACTCTTCATCAAGTTTAGTCCTTAAACCAGGTCATTATTTTTCCTTAATTGAATATTCATGTGGACCTTAAATGGCACTAATAGGACTAAATAAGTCGCATTAGTCAAGTCATATTATAACACCACCATAACACCAATCCACAGTATATTCGTTGTCGGATATCATTTTTTGTGATTATTTCGTACTATTTTTGTTTTTCTCAGACAATCACAGGATTTTTAATGTGAATGTGAACACATGAATTGTTGCTGATCACACACTAACTCAGACTCACAGCCAGCTGCCGTATCCATACTGGATGGTCCCTCTGAAGACTGCAGACACGTTGCCTATTTCCAAGGCGATGCCTTCACCTGGATGCAGTTCAAATGCACTCCGACCAATTGACAGGTTGTGAATCTCCAAACTGGGTGGATCGATAGATAATCATTACATGACTTAAGGACATTTTGTTCCTGTCTATTTGTGTGAGATTGTGTGTGTTGACTTACTTGTCCAGACCGTATATGACTCTGCCTATAAAGAGCAGAGATTTCTCTCCCTTCACACTTGGGTATCTGGCATGTTGGAACGCTGCCTCAATCACTTTAGTAGTTTTCTCATTCACTGCCAGAAGCACACAACCACGATATGGTCAGAAACACTTAAGGACAAGTACACGGCAGACAGCTGGGGAAACACACACCTAAGCAGCTGGGTATTCATCGGCATGTACAAATACAAAGAAGTCAGAATGGAATAAGGGAAACAAGAGAATAGAAAAATAGTTTGTAAAAATATCATGCACCCTTTAAGCTACTTTAATAATTGAACAATGTGTATGCTACAAACACACTAGTCTGGCAGTCTTCTACACTTCATCTTACAGTGTTTGAGGCTGAGCCTGGCTAACAGAGGGACGTCTGTTTGATTTTCTCTTAGAAGAATGAAAAATCTCTTACAACTTATTTTTCTTCTTCAAAACGAGCGGTTTTGATACATTATTTTCAGAACAAGCATCAGTGATTGTAGGAAATGTGGTTTTGATTTTGAAAATCACAAACATTACCACTAGTTTGAAATCTTTTAAGAACTCCTCATCACAGCAATGTAGGTTGTTTAACAGAAGGATGAAGTGTTACATTGATTAAATAGAATAAAGTACATCTTTGGAGGTGAACACCAAAATCCCACTCACACACAACAGCTGCAGGGTAGGTAAGGCGACACACAGCTCCAGTGAATCTGTAGGCTGAAGCGGGGTCCTGCAGGCAGGCGTGGGACGCCCCAAACACAGAAAGGAACAGCAGCAGGAGCAGCAGTGGTGGGAAAACATCACGAGGCATTGTGCAACTGGATAGTTGACCTCTGTGAGAGTTTGAGATTTTTAACCCTGTGGGCATGTTACAGTTCACTTTATGTTTGTGAGTTTTTCTGAGTAGTATCTCATCTAATCTCCCCTCAGTTCCAGAGTCCTGACAATTCTTCTTTTTGGTCCCTTTTAGACTCCAACTCCCGTACGCTGTGGCTGCTCCGCTCTCACGCATTTGTGTCTGATGTCAAAATGTCAGCCAGCCTTTTTTGACTTTCCTTGGTCTGTGCTGAGAGGACACTACAGCCTACTGACCTTGTTCTTTCCTCTGTCAGGGAGGGCTCTACGTACTGCAACTATCTAGTGGAAACCTTGTCCTTCATCCAATCAGAGACGGACAACTCGTGTGGTTCACACTTAATGGCAAACACTGAAACACTGGGTCCCCTTAAAGTAAACTGGTCAAAGTACAACCTCTTCTATGACACGAGTGCTACAAAAAAACATCAGGTAGGTACACAAGCGGGCAGTCCTGCAATCTCCACTTGGTACAATCAAATCACAACCCAGAGTAACTAAGGTGCCGTGTAGTCACAGACTATAGCGTACAGCATGTTCTAAAGACTACTGAGATGTATCTCATCTTACTTTGACAGTTACAAGACAAACATGCAGGTCAACAGGGGAGTCCTGCAGGTCGGACCACACAGGTGCAGACGTGTCTGCAGCAAACTCTGGTTGTATTTGCAGTGCAATTAGATGCATCATGCTTCAGTGCATGTGTGCCCTCTGGTGACGTGACAATTCAGCCACTTCATGCATTTAAACATGGGCTGAACAAAATGTGGTTACATTTTTTTATTTTGAAATCAGTAGAAACACTTTCCTTACAGACCAGATCTGCAACAAATCAACACAATAAGTTGAGAACATTTATTGCATCAGTTATTGAAAGTCTCCCTCAAGACACACTTTGTCCTGCGACATCCACTCATAAGCAGTTATCACAGAAAGTCAAACAGAACATCCTAACTACATGGTGACCAATGTCCCAAACTATTGTCCTTCCTCAAAGGTAACTTCACAGCAGGGACTAATGCAGTACAGCAAGTACTGTTCACCTCGTTAAAGGTGAAATACACCCCGTCTACAGTGGTGCTGGTGAGAGAATCCCATTCATTTGCTGTTATGGATCAAAAAACATGCACCGATTGTTATCAGTCGACTTAATAACACAACACCAGATCAGGAGTCAAGACATATAACAGCATCGTCGTGAATGCATCTGATGTGTAACAGTGAAGGTCTCTTAATCAATATGAAGTAAACCAAAGGACAGGAACAGAGGAGTGATGTTTGGTAGTTCCACTAGTGAAGAACTTGGAATGTTTAGTGAATGAAGTTCAGACCTGAGAGCAAAGTGAGAAGAGGAGGAATCCCTGTGATGAGAACACTATGCAGAGGTAAAGATTATAAAGATTGCTTCTGACACTATAAACAATTCACGCTTTTGTTTCACTAAAGCAATATTTACTATGATTGATAAAGCATGAATTTGGCGTTTTTAACTTGTTTTGCATAAATAGGATTTTAGACTTAAAAGTAGCCGCATCTCTGAAAACAAACAAAGAAATAAACAACTGTGAGCCCACTAGGCATTATATTTATATTATACATCTTCCAATGAAGAACAAATCTCAAACCCTCTAGATGTAAAGGAGCTTGTTGTCTACTTTGGTCACAATCACCATCAAATAAAGCACAATAATAGCAAACAACACCCTGTACAATGTCATGTTCATGTTTCTAGTGACTGTAAGAAGACTAAATGACTTCATGCTACTTGTATTTTTAATACTGTGAGTATTTTAAGACACAATCAAAAGAAATAAAAGTTGAGAGCTTTTGTTTTGCACATCTTTATATAACCTTCAAATTCCAAAACACCTAACACAATCATAACCAATCCATGAGACCAGTCACATTGTAGTCAGATATTGTAACGCTATGAATTCTGCACATGTACTTTGGGGCTTTCTATGCCTCCATAGTCGGGAGCAAAGCAGGTCAAACTAGTTAAAACATCTGACCTACTACAGCTGTAATCAAAGCCAGGCTCCATGCATGGGTGCTTTTTAGAGAGCAAAACGAATCCATCACTGGAAGAACTGAATTCAGATTTATAAGATAAGATACAATACAGAGTTTTTTTCTGTGCCCGATTTTCACTTCAACAGAACATCATATAATCCTAATAATGCAGAGACTATACATCTGGACTGATTTTGGATCCAGAAGGATCAAAAAGCCCGTATATATACACACACCTCACAGTAAGAAACATGTAGGCAGTATAGTTCACCCTATGCTGCCACCTGCTGGTGTTTCATGGATACAGAAAGCATACAGGTTGTTTTAAGGCATGGTCACATAGCAGAACACCGTGATGTGGGGTAACAACCCACAATCAGCAGACATATGTTTGCTCAGATGGAGAGCTGGGATCCCATAGAACAATGCGTTATTGTTATGAATGTTTCCTAGTCCTTTGTCTCCTTAGTTTCTTGTAAATTCAAGGGGCTGGCATTGCTTTATTGTTGCTGGTGTTTTAGCTTAGTGTCCTTGATTTTATTTATTCTAAATTGGCATCTCCAGAGATTATTTTTCACCGCTGAAAAATACAAAAAAAGAGTCAGCTGTCTCTATCGATGGTCTGCCAGGGGTCAGTTGGCAATAGCCTGAGGAGCCTCGGGTATGAGGGAGGAAAGAAAAGTTTTGAGGAAAACCCAGAATGTCCACATGACTGACACCCTGTGAGGAAGCACCAACACTGCCGTCATTGGTCCGTGTGGTCCGTCCACTGCAGCAGCAGGCTCCACCCGGTGTCCGTCACCATCCTCCTCCACCTGAGTGACAGGAAACAAAGTCGTCATATAGATGCGCTGGTTTTGAAAGTGTTCTTCAGATAAAGTATATTTTTCTAATCTACGGATCAACCTATTGACTTTTTATTATTGGTGAAGTAATGTGATCAAATATAATACATATAGTGACACACACACACATGTAATGGGGGAATGTAATAGTTATGCTATGCCATGAATTTTGCTACATTTTTGTCTTTATTTGTTGTATTTTTCTTGTTTATCACCAATGACATATAAAATAATACATTCATCAACATCTGAGACGGAAGCGTGGGGATTGGATTAAGTTCACGGCCGACCAACCAGCCAGACGGCCCCAGAGAGGAGAGCCGAGATGGAAGCTAAGCTAACCCAGCTAGGACCTGAGGCTACTCCACTACCCAGCATGCTGCCGGCTGTCTGATGTTCAGTTATATTAAAGCAGCGGGAGGTCAGTGACTGTTGAGCCCACATCTTCACAGAGACCTGGATCCATCGTGGTCCAGGATCAAGCTGCACTTGACGGGTCAGGACAGAGAGCAGAACTCTGGTGGACCAGAGGAGGAGGACTCTGTGTTCACATCATGATGCTTGGTGCTTAAACACAGTCACAGTTGATGGACAATGTTTTCCTCATGTTGAGTTTTTAATGTGAAGATGTCGGCCATCTTATCTGACCAGAGAATTGTTTCTGTTGCTGCGGTTTACGTTTCTTATGATGCACTACAGCAGGGAATCCCAAAGTGTGGTGCGAGAGGAAAAATGTAATGGTGGTCTAATGGTGCAATAATTGATATTAAATATAATTGTAAAAAATTTAAGTGGGATTTTTCACAAAAACATGAATTCTAAAAATTCCCTTTGTAACATTTAAATTTTAAAACTTACAATTTAATAAATAAATGCACTTCAGCTAACATCAGCTAACAGCAAACTTCATCCATTCAGCAACATTCATGCTAATATGCTAAACTGGCTGAAATTGGGGAAACTGTCAGGTGGGACATCTGAAGCTATCAGTCATAAAAGGGGAGAGAGAGAGAGAGAGAGAGAGAGAGAGAGAGAGAGAGAGAGAGAGAAGAAATCGAACGGGAGTCAGAGAAAGATGAGACGGAGGAGACCGAAAAGGAGGAAGGGATAGCACAGACAAATGGGGAGCACATAGGCCCATCGCGGAGTCAAGGTGAAAAAAGAGGAAACGAGAGTGAGCATCAGACTGGGAAAAAAAAGAGGAAATATGATGAAAATGATCTGGGTCTGGGCTTCGCTTGGATTGGCAATGCAGATTGCCCAAAGCCACAGTGCATGGTGTGCAGTGAGGTTCTGGCAGCTGTCTGAAGCCCTCTTATTTACGTCGCCACCTGAACACCAAGCATGCCAGTGCAAGTCAAAAGCCCCTTACATTGTTTATATCGAAATTGGAGGAGTTACAAAACAGCCAAAAACAACTGCAGTCTCATTCATGTGTTGGGTCTACAAAACACGCACTACGGGCTTCATATCTGGTCACAGAATAGCAAGAAAGGGGCTACCGCACACAATCGCCGAAGACGTTACCAGCTGCCAAAGAGATGGTGGAATGTATGATTGGAGAGAGTAACTTTATTGTAATTCGATTCAGATTAATGTAACCGCTATGTGTGGTTAATTGTAAATTAAATGTGATGCAATCTGCCTCTGAGCCTGTGCGTGTGTCCTCGCCATCCTTATTGCTCTTTAAAAGTGACGCCTTGTGTAACTGAAATGTATTGAAACTTTGTTGCAGTGTTTCAGGGCGTTTTCACACCCGTAGTTCGTTTGCTTTGTTCTGATTCAGGGATTAATATGATACAATGTTGCAGTTGCCCCTTTGTTCGGTTTGTGTTCACACTGCAACATTTAACAGCGGACTAAATCTTGTAAACAAACGCCACGCGCGAGCAAACTGTTCTCTCATTGGTCCGATTGTTATGCGGCTATAAATAGGCTCTGTTGATTTTTTTTTAAGGTGTGGGGGGATTGGGGGTGCGTGAACCCGGTTGGGATGTAGAAGGGGGTGCGTGGCCTAAAAAGTTTGGGAACCGCTGCACTACAGGAATGTACTATTGGTTTTGTTTTCTGTTTGTTGGGCTACAACTGGATTTCGTTGTGCATCCCAGTGTTGCATAATGACAATAAATGATCCTTGAATCCTTAATGTCAATACCAAAGTATCTAATGTTACAAGTGTCAAATGGAAGTTATGGTTTCTGTTCTGCAGAATCCCAGGCATCTTCTGAAAGTGGGAGAATAGTGGACAACTGAAGCAAGTGCTTCTATGAAGGAGACAGTAAGCATCCTTGCTAGTGCCCCTTAAAAGAATCCTTTTACTGGACTTGTGGTTAGTGTGGCTTTGGTTGAGGTACATTTTGTATATCTGATGTTAGTCTTTGATAGTATATGCCAAAAGTGCTTGTAAAAGTTCACAAGGAAGCCATCAGGTCCGGGTGATTTATTATTTGGCATCTGGAGAAGGGCTTTGTGGAGTTCATCTGAGGCCAAAGATGAGTCAAGGGTGTCCAGGCTGTTAAACAGGATTGTGTGTCTGATGGGTCAGGGGTTGGGTTGGGAGAATACAAATGGCTGTAAAATATCTCAGAAGTTTTCTCTATTTCTTGTGGGGTTTAGGAGGTTTCACCTAATGTTGGATTTTATGGCTGGAATTAAGGCTCTTCCCTTTTTGTGTGGTGACACTAAAACTTCAGTTCAATGAAATGTTTTCTTACTGGATTTGGATTCCTGTTCTCCTCCTGCTGGTTGTGCTGAACCCCAGGAGGCTGCAGATGGTTGGGTCCTTGGACTTGTGCTCGCCCTCTGAAGGGAAACCAACCCACAGTGTGTCTGTGGAGGAGAAAATAGATCATCCCTCCAGTTCTGAGGTCTTTGCACTGGCTTCCTATCCAACAAAGAATTGACTTTAAAATCCTGCTGTTGGTTTATAAAGCACTGAATGGTTTAGGACCAAAATACATCTCTGATCTGCTGCTACCTCATGAACCATCCCGACCCCTTCGGTCGTCTGGGACCGGTCTACTTCCTGTTCCCAGAGTCAGGACTAAACATGGAGAAGCAGCGTTCAGTGTTTCTGCTCCACATATCTGGAACAAAGTCCCAGAAAGCTGCAGGTCTGCTGAGACCCTCAGCTCCTTTACATCAAGACTGAAGACTTTTCTGTTTGCTGCCTTTAATCAAACCACATTCAAGGATATTAATCCATTTCCTGCATTTCTGCATTTGACTACTGTATTTACTGTTTTAATGACTGTTTTTAATGTTTCAATGAATGTTGTCAATTGTTTTTAAAATCACCTTTTCTTTTGCCTTGTGTTTTGATGCTTTTAATGGTTTTATGTGAAGCACTTTGAATTACCTTGTTGTTGAAATGTGAGATACAAATAAACTTGCCTTGCCCAGGAAAAAGGGGAAGAGAGTGGGAAAAAGGACTAAACAGCTTGGACCTACGGTTATACCTATATACTACCTAGCGTTCTCCTAGCTAGTGTCCGGTTGCTGGAAAATAAGATGGAGGAAATAAGACTCTGAGAGAGACTCTGAGATCAGAGACTGTTGTGCACACATCTTTACAGAAACCTGGCTATATCATAACATCCCGGATCAGGCTATATTGCACTTGACGGGCGGACTGTATACCGCGCCAACAGAACACAAGACTCCGGAGAGAAGAGGGGAGGGGGACTGTGTGTTTACATCAATGATGCCTGGTAAGTCAGGTTTAAAGCACCACAGTAGAGTGCTGTTAACTACTCAACACACAACAGTGCAGTGAAGCATGTCAGCAAAGTTTTGGTCGTTGGACAAAGTAGAAATCCATCGACTGAACTTACAGGTACATGAGGAGGAGGGTGCTCATCACCAGCAGGAAGCGACTCAGGCTGGAGTTGAAGTACACAATGATGAGCAGAACGCTGAATCTTGCAGCAGAGTACAACCAGTCCAGCCAATCACGCTCCATATCCTCCTCCTCGTCCATTACAGGCCCACCCTGCGCGTTCATCCGCATGTTCTGGTTAGCCTCCCCAGGGTTGATGAAGGCGCCTTCCTGCGCTGGGTTCTGATTTGCTGGCAGGTTGTTGATGGGGTTCTGATTGGCTAAGGGGTCTGGAACAGGTACTTGATGAGCGGGAACAGGAGGGTACTGGCCAATGGTCGTAGCTGGTGCAGAGGGGACGGTGCCAGCTGCCACCATCGCTGCATGGCTGTTCATGGAAAAACATCCAGAGTATTACAAACTAGTCATTCATGGCCATGTCAGATCACAAACACAGAGGAGTATGACTTTATAGTGTGTGAATAAAGACTCACTACTGCATGTAGTACTGTCTAGCATAGACATGCTGAAGCCACAGGAGCTGTTGAGGGCTGTACAGAGAGTAGGTGGGAAAGGCTGGTTGGGTCATCTGTGGTGCTCCAGGCCTGCAGAGAACAATGACAGACTGTAGATATTGGGTTCCTGCTTTTCTTTAGTTGAGACATCTTAAGTGCAAACATGTGGGTAACAGTAGTGGTTTGACACGCCCTCTTTCACTTCCCATTAGCACATGCTAATGTAGCCACAAGCGCACCAAGAGTTTCAAAATCAAACACACTCACTCTTGAGCAGCCGTAATAATTGATAGTCATACATCAATATGTTTACTGTTTGTCAACAGTAAATATCACCTAATATTGTATCACATATTGATAGAAAACAGTGTATATGATGAAAGATCACAATGCGTTCTTGGTATAGGCCCCTTGAGTGTGCATCATTCTCGACTTCCTCCCTCAGCTTTGAAATGTTTAATGTAAATCTCCACTTGAGTTTCATACTGATAGAGTGTCACATAAAGGGACAATGACCCACCATCATGTAAAGGTCCAATCAGTCCAAAAAGTGACACATTTCTCTATTTTTTCCCTTCCCTGTTTTTCGTTATTAAATTTGACACAATGAACATGAACACAAAGCATCACAGCAGTGCACAGTTTCAAATCCTGAAAAATAAAGTTTCCAAAAACTCCACATGCGAGCAAGTTTTTGCCTTTTATTTTTACAGTATAAGTTAGTCTCTCCAAAGCTAAGCAGAACTCCAGTTCCACTTTTACTAACATTCCAGTTAGAAGGTATTTCCATGTTCTTCCACAATAGTGCAAATATCCCTCTGTCTTGTTCCAACTTCAATAAACAGTGACTGCTGCAGAGTTACAGCAAAGTGTTGAGGGTGTATTCCAGCACACAAGTTTGGTTCGTAAAAACATTTCCCTTCCAGTTACAAAGATTGTACTTTCAACCACACTCCAGAATTGTTGTAGCTTTGTACACATGGTGGGGATCTCTATTCAGTTAAGAACCCAGCACAGAACCGCCAGGTCCGCCCAATCATGGAGGGAGGCAACATTCCAGGTGGCTGCACCTTCATCACTTCTCCCAACCTCTCCAGGTAACGAGCATCACTACTGTACATGCCCCAGGCGTTTAACCATGACTAGGTGAACTACATGACCACCCATCCCAGCCTCAACTTGTTTACCCTGCTACCGTCTGGCAAGAGATACACAAGCTGCCCTACCACCCGACTTCAGAACAGATTATTTCCTTTATTCATCCTCCACCCTCCACAGATGATGTCGTTTTTCTTTGTTTTTTGCGGCGTAGCAAAATGGGACTGCTGTCAGCATTTCCTTGTGCAACCCTGTTGTACAATGACAATAAAATAACCTTGGAGCTTGTATCTCTTCAATCCAAAATAAACAACCTGAAAATGAAGAAAATAGATTGTCGGAGGACGGTCGGAGCTACATTATGATTGGCTAGTTTGCGTTTGAGGGCCTGGACTACGGTAGGGGTGAACGTGACTGAAGAAATGTTTACCGGTCAAGGCAACAATGTAGAAAACAGCCTGGTTTTTTTAATAACAATGCATATTGACATTAATAAACGAGAATTCCTTCATCTTCCAAAAACATGAAACCACCCAAGATGGAGATCTCACAATGGTAATATGGGCAAGTGCAAAGTTTAAGCACTTTTGACGTGCGTGTTTATTTCTTTCAGTAATATCCTGAACACATTGGTACTGTTAAAATTGGATGTCTGTTTATGCCAATATAATTAAATACAGTTCAGCAAATACATGATTTATTCAATTAGGACTTACATTTCAAATGCAGTTCCTGGTGGAGACTCTGGGGTTTGTGTGTGAGATGAAGCAGCAGTAGTTGAAGATGAAGAGGTCTGCCTCCTCTGCCTCAGCTTCGGTGATATGGGAGTCTGAACTGTGGAGGAGGGGCTGCTGGGATCGGGTAAAGCAGAGGCTGCCATGGGCCTCAGACTGGAGGGACGTGGCTGTTCCGTCTCTTTGGTCTGCAAAGGCAAGACAAGTTTGAATTTGTTGAAAGTATTCGTCACTCAGCACTAGAGCAAACCCAGATACGTTTGTAGAGATGAGTTATTTTGGTATTAAGGGAGGAGGTGAAGATGTGCTCGAGTAAGTCAAAAAACTAAACCTGCCTTTAAAGTTGATATGACACAGGAGGCTCCTCTAAAATCCCACAAATGATTGTTGTTGAATCATTAAACTGAAACATCACTGAAGCATTTACAAAAACAGTTGGAATGGATAATGAATGGATAACCTTCATCTGGATCTCTTGCACACACACCTTAGTTGTACAGGTGTAATAAATAAATAAAATTAACTATGGTCCCCATAGAAAACAGAGTAGATAAGACATTGAAGTGTTTTTCGTGGTCATTTTAGTAGTACAAAAGAAAATGGTGATTGTTGTTAGTTGTTAAGGGGATGTCAGTGCTATCGCAGCTAGCCGTGAGCCAGTTTGCACAATTCCAGGGCCTAAATGGAAGAGGGCAATAATTAATGTTATAAATTACACTTGTGTTTACCCTGAAATGACAGTTTAAAATGGCTGATTTGAAAGGGGACTTTTACACCAGTTTAAACTTTCCGTCATTGGCAACCTTTCCATGTCAGATCAGACTTTAAATATTAAATGGACACGCCCCTTCCTACCTGCCTGATCTCCTTGAACCTTATACTCCAATCAGGACTCTCAGAATACAGGGCTCTTGTCTGTTCCTTTCATATCCCCTTTGTTATGGAGTAACCTCCTTAAGGACATCAGCCAGAATCAAGGCTGGACTTCTAAACAAAAGACACTAGATGGCAGTATGATCAAATGTAAAGCTCATATTTTCCTATAGTTGCACCTAATGGAAACAATCTTTAAATTTTCTTTAACCTACTCTATTTTAAAATTCTTGTACATTTTCAGCTAAAGAAACCATTCAAATGTCAAACGTTATGCTCTTTTGGGAAATGTATTCTTGCATTCAACTTCTGTCCCTTTTATGCCTTTATTATACAAATCATTTCTTCTTTCAGCCTTTTAAGTTTAGACATTTCAAATTCAACCATTTGACAGTATTACAGTTTAGCTTCCAGCTTTTCTCGCAATAAATTCAGCTCTTAGCTTCTGTGCGTAATGCAGTTCAGGAACCAATTCTTCCAGGTTTACATTTGCATTTCAGATCCCAGATTTGTCAGCAGAGCAATGTCTCTGTGCTTTAATACTTCTGTATTTCAGCAATGTTTGCAATTTCAGCTGTCAGCGTTCACACACATTTTCTGCAGGAAATACATGTTCTTGTTTGTATTTTAGTGGATGCATTTAGTTCACTCCTGTACACTAACCCTTTATTTTGTCTTTAGAGCCACAGCTGTATTTCATTGTGCATCCCTGTGTTGCATAAATTATCCTTAAATAAAATCTGACTATGTGGTGTTTGAAGATTACAGTATACATTTAGGGTGAAAAAACCAAATGTAAACTTTCCACAACAATCAAAGACGAAGTTAGAATAATGAACACATGGTCACATATTGTCCATGATCAAGTAGCTCTACAGGCTTTGGTGCTGTGACTAGAGATCCATTTGTGAGCACAGACACCTCTTTGATAAATGAGTTTGATGAACTGCAATACTTTATTAGTGTCACCTGAGACCTCCACCTTGTAGCGTGATGAGAAGCTAACAGGCTGCGGTAGAGTTTCGCCTCATCATGGTAAGAAGTCAACAGGCAGCATTCGCAGTAGAGCGGGAGAGTAATGAGGGAAGGCAACATCTCTTACCTTAGGTCTAGCTCCCAGGGGCCCTTGCGGTGGATTCCTAAAAGCACACACCAGGTGCAGTGTGGGAACAGAGTCAGTCTGAGAGAGTGGAGATAAATGCCGGATTAGATCAAACGCATCAATAGATTCAGGCCTTTACATTCAACAGAACTGAACCTGTTAAATGTGTCAGTATGAGCACAAACTGTCTGCACCAACGCTAAAAACAGCAGAACCAAGACCATATAGACAGCGTGTACATTGTACTGAAGTAACACTTTCCCAAAAGGCAATAGGCTGTAAAGCTGAAACGCATCTTGTATGCTATGAGATTGAAAACACTAAATGCATTGACTGATAAAATGCACATTAAAATGTGCATTATGAGGAGAGTTACAATTAGCTCCACCTTGGCTAAATGCCAATGTAGCTGTTATGGAAAAAACATTTATGTCAGAAAACGCTGTTTAAAAGCATTCATAAAGCCTTTAGTTTGACTGCGTCTTCCTTATGGTAATAGGTGGATTATTCCACAAGGTGAAGCTGTGTGGAGTGTAATTGTGGGTCAATTTTACTTTCCAGTAGTACAATATCTGTTTGTGGAAATCTGAGCTCAAATTGTTTACACTAACTCGTACGTCCTCTGCGGCGATGGAGGAAACACCCGATCTGAAACACGTACCCCGTCTCGTTTACCGGGCTTTGTGAGTGTGACTTTTTTGCCGTGTCATCACCATTCATATTTCAATAACCAATGTGTTTGTGATTCGATTGTTTACTAGAGCACAGTGTCGAAATACTCTGAAACAAGTAAAAGACCTGCATTCAAAATGTTACTTAAGTAACAGTACAAAATTATTGGCATCAAAAAATACTTTAAGTACCAAAAGTGAAAGTATGCTCATTATGCAGAATGGCCTATTTTAAATAATACATTTACAGTAGGCCTATATCACTGGATTATAATTATAGATAATGTATCGCTCATTTGACCTACTTTATACATTATACATAATAATTGGGCTTAATAAAACATCATAGTTAGTTTATTTATATATCTTAATATGCAGGTAGTCTAACAAGTCATTTATACTGTCAAATAAATGCAGTGAAGAGAAAAGTACGATCATTCCCTCTCAAAATGTTCGTAAATAAATAAATAAATGGAAATGCTGAAGTAAAGTACAAGTACCATAAAATTGTACTGAAGTAAATATACAGTTACATTGTATCACTTCTAAAACAAGAGCACAACATTGTTTACAAGAGCAAAATGTTCTTCATGGATCTAACCTCTGAATGTTGCTTTCAAAGAGCACCAGATTGATTTTAACTTAGCATGCCCAATGCTGAATAATACATTTATAATGTTATATGACCGTCTTGATTGACATATTAAACTTCCATATACGGTATGTCTTCTCAATATCGCAGGTTTGTTCTGTTTATTTTTAACATTTAACTTCCTGTTTTTTAACTTGCTCTGCTCAATTCTTAAAACACCGGCACTAAATGTGTTGTCACGGCACACATGTCATCTGTGGACTTAAGATGACGTGAGAGTGGATACGTTGGTCTCTCGTGATTGGTGGGCGGTGAGTGGAAAAGCACAACAACCCTTTTAAAGGCCATGGCAATCCTACTTATCATCAAAGAGGTTGGTCAGAGAAAAGAAGGCTTGATTCAACCTCCCTAACCAGTTCTACAATTTGAGGTTTTTGTAGTATGTATTGAAAATCTCACGTCAACATTATTTACACAGCTCAATATTACAAATCTGCCTCAAGGGGCTTTATAATCTGTTCAGCATGTAACACCCTCTGCCCTCAGGCCATATATTTGTAGAGGGAAAAAGCCAAACCACAGTAGTGTTTGTAAGCATAGTCATGAGCCCATATTGTCACATTTACCTGTCTGAAGAGATCTTTAATGTGCAGATGATCGGGCAGCAGTTTACCAGCATAGATCAGTCTCTGGTCACTCACAGCCTACAGGAAACAAAGAAGTAGGTTTCAATCAGTCAAAACTTCTGGGATGAAGTAACTTTAGTGCCCAACAAAGTATATCTGTGTACTGCCTGGATTTTGCCAACTTTTCTTCAGCTTTATTCTTTTATGAAACCATTCAAGTCATTCTTTCCTGAGGCCAGGGCATGACAAGAACAGCTGCTAAGTGGAACATGTGGCCTATATTTGTGCTATTTCAAACTTTGTCTACGCTGGCTTTCATTCACTAAGTCACCATGAGCCAATCAAGACGGGTCCTCACTGGCTATTAAAAACAAATTAACTGAATCTAATTTTTTTAAAGGTTTCCTTTTGTTATAATCTCTGGGTTTGATATATGCAATACAAATACACTGTATTGTCTCAATTGTGTCTAACAGCAGGTGATTCACGGTTTAAATATACTGCTGACTCAGCCTTGTGTCAGCTTAAGCACATGGCTGATTTTCCCAAGACATGACAGACTTGATCAGAAATCATTAACTTTACTCTGAGACATGGCTCTGCTGACAGTCCTGTCTCCTAAAAATGACGTTCCCCCAAAACTAAAATGCATTCTCAGTTACGTTTGACCATAAACGTATTTTCTCCCTGATAACGTTTGTGTTTGACGTATTACAAATACATTTCTCATCAACATATCTTTGCCATACTCTAGTCTTTATTATTTTTCTGTGATCTGCCTCGCCTCTACCCCCGCCACCCACAAGTTGTTGCCCCGCGGCCTGTTCCGAGGGCTGACAGACCTGACGATGGGGTGCCTCACGGCGGGGGCGGCTGGAGACCTCGCGTCCGGCGCCAACGGGTGAGCGCCCGCCACTCGGAACCATAAAACCAAGTCCCGGATTTCACCCGGGGGACATTCTGGAGGTATTGTGGCCGGGTGATGTGCCTCGTTGCTGGGGAGGTATGAGCCGAGAGTGGCCGGGTGTTATGGAGGTATATTTTATTTATTTGTATCCATCTAACCCTAACCATAACTTCCACGAGGAAGCCACGTCCCCACCCAAACCTAACCCTTAAGAGAGTCACGGTTACTCCCGGATTTTACAAGCGGGCCTTTGTGGAGGTATTGTAGCCGCGTAATGTTCCTCGTTGCTCGGTCTGGATGAGCGCATTTCTGCCGGAGACAGGCGGCGTGTCGTGGTAGTATTCTGACCGCGTAATAGTGCGAATGAGAGGCGGTGATGGAGAGGGGAAAAAAGGTTAAAGTGTTGATTAGAAACGTATTTGTAATAAGTCAAACACAAACGTAATCAGGGAGAAAATACGTTTTTAGTCAAACGCAATTGAGAATGCATTTTAGTTTTGGGGGAACGTAATTTTTAGGAGACAGGGTTGGTCAGCAGTGAGGTAGATCCTCCTCTGCTCATCTGTAATCCGTCCTCTCAGCAGCTGCCTGCATGCACACTGTGCCCATCAAGGTCGGTCGGTCAGTTGTTTATATAGCGGGCTCCTTTCAAACACACATGCATTACAAATTAAGAGTTGAATGCTAAATCAACATTTTACAATAGATTAGAGAGAACTATTTAATCCCGAGCACACAGAAATATATGCTTCATAAATGATAACATACAAACGAGTGTAAATCACTGAGGTCCACCAGAACGCCTTCAAAAGTTCATAATACTCGTGTAGGTGTGTGAGCGCAAAGCACATTAACATTAACAGTTCATAATACTCGTGAAGGTGTGTG